CTACCATAAACAACCCAGAGTTACACTAGACACGAGTGGTATGGTACATCAAAACTAAATTGCTTACTACACTTGAAGTGCCCATCTGATAAACAGTATACCGTCACAGTACCCAGCCCTACTGAATATAGAAAGAAAGAGAAGGGAAAATAAAAAAAATTTCCTTTTTTTTCATTTTCTTTTTACTGACTGTTCACTTGCCTTTAATCATGTTTGAACTTACTCAGACTATAGTTTTTGCTGTGGTATATGAAGAAGTACTTAAAGTGTGTGGAAAGCAAAGTTACAATGATATAAAATTAGTGTCATACATAATTTTTTTTTGTATGTTCACACTGATGTTAAAATGACATTTTCTGATCTGTGACATTACTTTTTATGTAATGCTAAAACACTGCTGGTCACTTTCAGAAGTTGTAGTGATTCTTTCTTTTCCAAGAAAGAATGTGAAACAAATTGGTTATTTAATTTTCATTTTTAAATTATTTAAAATATAATTGAAATTGATTTTACACACTTTAAGCAATATCGTATCGCATATCAAATATCGCATTTTTTAACAAGGTATCGCATATCGCATTTTTCTTCAATATTGCACAACCCTACTTGAAATTAACTGATGATGAATAAAATGCAGAGGATATTTGTTGCTTTCACTGACATGAACTCATAATTTATGTTAAATTTGCATACAGCACAGGAACTGAAGATCGGATTTATATTGGTTTTGCGGAGACACATTTATGTGGCCAAGTATAAATGGAACCGTTTTGACAAATCAGATAGCTATCCGATCAGAGAAAACGCATGAAGTGACCAGGTGCAAGTTGGCCCTATGACTGCCTAGGGCTGGGCGGTATATCAAGTTTGTACGATATATCGATATTGTTTTTATAAGCGATTCGATATGAGGAAATACCGTTTATATCGATATACAGTAGTTTGATACGAGCACATCTGAAAATATAGCGGAGGACACAGACTGAGCTGCTGTGGGGGAAAAGTGCATAATCCAATTTGTTCTAAACATGTGACAAGCTTCATATTAAGGCCTTTAAAAACTGGTAAGACAGTTTATGGTTTCGTTTCACATATTAGTTTAAGCGGCTCGGCCCGTCACTACAGCTGACAGAGACACTAGGCTACTCGCACTGTTTAATGTGTTGAGATGTGTCATCTTCCTGAATGCATAACTTACATTTCACAGGTATATTCTCCATCTGTAAATGTTAGTAAGCCATGGAAATATTTCAATTTTTCTGTCAGAAGTGCATGAGCTAAACTTCACAGACGTCCGTGAACGAGCGCCGCCGCCATGCGCACCAAACAGACCAAGCTCAATTAAGTAGGAGCACAATCCAGTGCTCGATTTGAGAAAACCTGTTCTTTGTAATCGTCATTGAAACTCTGTAAACTTTACTTTTGTTCATCTGTGTTTTCAATGCATTCATTTGTTGGCTCTTTTGCACAGACGAGCCACCGGTGCACACTACTGTATGTCCCGTCTCTCCCTCTATGAACATACACAATAAAAATTTTAAAAAATTCTAAAATGTAGGGGTCCTCTGATCAGGGTTTTTGAGGCTGATCACCGATCACAGAAAGCAGTATCTGCCGATACAGATCACCTATACCGATCTTTTTAAAGCCTTCTTTTTATCATTTATGTAGCGTCTGGACCAATCAAACACACAATAATTATAAACACATTCAATGCTTTTTACTTTTGCATTTACTTCTAGATTTATATATTAAGTTGCTCAAGCAAGTGTCAAAACATTTAAACTGCTTTTCTTACCTTATCACAAACTAAAAGTGCTCTTTTCCTTTAAACCTAGCCAAAAAGCCATATGTGTTGATTGTGAAACACAGTAGACTTTAATAATATGCATTTGTGGTGTAATTACTACATTTTTGTGTCAATCCATGTTCCTATTTACTGCAAACAACAGTAAATTGCTTACTTTAATTCAACACTTGCAGTGCAGCAAAAATAGGCTCTGTCTTGAAACGATCTCTGCACTGCTGCAGACGCACCGCTCGTGGAACGCACTGCTCCACGCACCGCAACAGTCTGCAGTGTGCACGCTTTATTAGTCCGTTAACATGAGTATGGAAAAAATATGCACCACATACGCACTGCAAACGGAGTAATGTGAACCTGGCATTATGTGTGTGCGCTGCGAGTGTGCATGAGCGCACGGTCTCCAGGAGAGTGTGCGAGCGCTGAATGGTTAAACACTGGCAATAAATAAAATGTAATGCAATTTATAAACTTTAGTGACGATGTGACACTGCCTCGATAGTGCAAGTGGCAATTCCTGTGTCAACTGTGCAGCATGCAGCTCGCTTATAGACAGACGCGATGTGGTGATTTGAAGCCATTTGCGTATTTTGAGAGAGAAAGAGTGTGCGCGGTGATTCACTCACGCCGTTTGTGAAATTACATCTCACACAATGTTTTCAAATTACTTTATAAGTTATTTAATTAAGAAATATGAAGGCGAGTACCTCACCTTCAGCATAATAATAATTTTACCCACGCCGGAGAGAGACTGAGACGGTGCCACTGCATGTCGTGCCAAACCTCACACAGCAGCGTCATCAGCTTGAGATCGCCAATCAATCATCCCAACGTGATTATCGGCGATCAGTAGCCGATCAATCGGAGCACCCCTACTAAAATGCTTTGAAACCTCATACTACTCAAAACTAAATGCGATATGGTGATTTAAATGATATTTGCACTTTACTTTAACGAGACGCTCCAGCGCGCACGCGCTTCAGATGAGCAACACAATCAATCCCATAAAGCCCCTTTTACACAGGACATGGTAAGCAGTGAAAATACTGCGTGGCTGCCGCTTTCTCTCATTTTGGATGCGTTTTGTACAGTCAATGCGGTGCTCGTGTCATGGACTTGAGGCGGACGTTGCCATAGTAATCGTAAAGCGTGACAAAATGACTAATGTTATTCACTAAAGTCAGCTCATGCATGCATGCTTGCATGTTTGTTTATATACAGAGACATACATGTTTATAGTTTGACCTTCAATAATTACTATATGTCTTTATGCTGATTCTTCATTTTTTTTAGAACAACAAAACACCAATATTGAAAACACAGATACTAATAAATTTCTCACTTGAGCACTTTTGGAACTTATAATTAGAAGTTACATGAAATTGATAATAGTTCTCGTTTTTGAGCATATCACTGCTGTGTGTGACAAGGTGCACTTACAGCTTAAACAATACTTGAGCTGAAATAGCAGGGTTTCATGACCTCTTAAAAATTAAATATTGGTGACTGGCATCGGCTAATATTAGTGTTAAAACATCAGTGATCGCATCTGCCTCAAATTTCCTGATTGGTGCACCACTAGTTGCAAGGTGTATATGTCCCTGAGTGAGAAAAGGGTTTCTCTGTGCATAGATAAACAGTGTAAAAGATCCCAAAACATGAATGATCTCACAGTAAGAGTGCTTAAGAGGATCAAAAGCAGTGTAAGCAGCATAATGTGTAACATCATCCATATGTTCTGGGTTGAATCAATCTCATATCTTGCAAAATACGACCCAGATAGATCAGTTCTGTCACGGAAAGCTTGCGTGTCAGTTGCGTCACTGGTGGCAGGTGCCTGAATACTGAAGTCCACTTCTAGCACCCTTGCAGCTGGTGTTCTACATGTGCACCATGTTGAAACTGAAGCTTGGATGTAGAATAGTTCAAGTGTGTGCACACAGTGACATCCAATCTAACCAAAAGTGCCCAGCCCTGATATTACAGATGCACAAACACTCAATGTCAAAAGTACTACTATTTAGGTACAGAGTCAATACTGAAGTTTTAAAAATGCAACAATACCAGTCATTCTGTATTACCAGTATTACCAAGTACTGGGTCAACTTCGAATTACATTCGAATTTAAAATGCAAAAGCTTTTGGCTTCTCTCCTGAGGCCACAAGAGGGCACATCGAGCAAAATATTACAAATGCACGTTTATTCAAAGCGTAAGAAAACATGACTATCTGTGAAAAAAGTGCATAATAATTAAAATAATGTTTATAAACCAATTATAATATAATTTATAATTATAAAGTTGCTTAAACAACTATAAACAAAACAGCATCATGTATGTATTCATAGTTTAATACAAAGGGCCGAAAGCAATCACAAAGTACATTTTTCATTTAAAAACACGAGTTGCAGTGGGATGGGGAAAAAACCCCGCCATAAAGTCTCAATGTTTTTTTAAAGTTAAACTTGCATTAATTTTACATGGCTTTCTAAACATGCCGCTCTTTTGTGCGAGACGCGAGTGCAACAGTAATAGATGTCCATCTAGAAAATGCGTTTTTGCATTCGAATGTGGATTTTTATTTTAAATTCGACGAATATTCGAAATTCTAATTTTTTTTTTGACAGCCCTAGTTTGTAATGTTGAGCACTGTAGTCAATCACAAGCAGTTCACACTCTCACAAGCAGTTCTATGATATGATAAACAGTTAACAAAAAGTACTCTTCATTAACGGTTCATTCTGCTCAGCAGTCTACCATAGCAATGGACAGGACAAAGAAAAATCTGATAGTGTATATCAAAACAGATCTGTAATTCAAGTTCGAGTAAAAATACAAACTAACAGACCTGACACTTGTTTTATGCAATGCGTCTCTTTGTCCTTTTTATTATATGTTTTACTATATGTTCACTTAAATGTTTTAATTAAAAATTTAGTTTTTCACAAATATAAAAATTAACTAGTTCCAGTAGTTTTTTTTTTTCTATGGTACCAACATTATTTTGTATAGACCACTGACATTTTGGTATCGTGACAACAGTAGTCTCAATTAGATTGCCTAAACACACCAACCTTCAGATGTTTAGTCTCCTATTTTGTCTAACTTGTGAATCCCATACCATGAATTAGAGCTTGTTAACTTGTTTTGAACTTGGACCATTGCTTTAAAAATACAGAAGCAGTTTGGGCACTCACTTGCTAGTTTGGCCTGCAGTCCGGAGGGCCCAGGCTTGGAGGAGGTCTCAGCCTTGGCCGATGCCGGCAGGGACAGTTTGGGCTTTGGCAGGTTGACTTTGGAGTTGAAGCGGGATGTCCAGTCAAACTTGGAGGAGCCAGCAGCCTTGCTCTGCTCTTTATCCCGGCTGCTCCTTCGGGGAGATGGGGAGGATGCGGAGCGTGACCGCCGCGCTTTGCTCTGGTCCTTGCCCTGCTTTAGTCGGGCACCCTGAGGGGCACAGCTGTTGGCGCCTGTGGCAGCCGAGGAGGAAGAGGATGAGGAGGACGAGGAAGAGGCAGAGGAAGAGGAGTCAGTCACGGTGCTACACCCAGCTTTGGCTGAGGCGGCCGATTTGGACGCCAGCTTGGTGGGTTTGGCTGCCCGGCTGGCCTCGCTGCGGGGTGGCAGGGGGCCTGCCGCACTGCTAGAGCTGGGGAGGGAGGAAGGAGAGGAGGACGACAATGAAGAGGCGCCTGCCTTCTTGCGCTTTTGAGAGGGGGGGATCGAGGCCCCACTAGGGCCTGGATAGGACGTGCTCTTCTTGCTCAGGGCTCTGGCGGGAGCCGGCTCGGCTGCTAACCGTCTCTTTTTGGACTTGGTGCTGACAGACGCTGGAGCCTTCCTCGGCTCTGTAACTTCAGGTGAGGTTGTGGGGGCCGATGGCCCACTGGATGAACTCTCCAAAAGGTGGCTGGACACCGCTTTGGGCCGCTTGGGTGGGCTGGGCGAAAAGGTGATGTTGGGCTCTAAAGCGGAGCTGCGTTTGAGAGCACGGGTACTGCTGCCCTCCCGTCTCCCCTGCTGGCTTGAAGTCCCTGCTGCTTCCAAGTCTGGATCTGGAATCGAGTGTGAACCCACGGATAAAGAGAGGCTGTTCCTGTGAAAGCAAACAGAAAGGGGAAAGACTTGAGTGCCCAAAACAGAGCAGTCATCACATGGTGAACTTGCATCACAAAAGACCCACACGCAATACAGGAGGAAAAAGGGATACCTTCGAGAAGCGTGGCCGCGGGCGGAGCCGACGGCAGAGCTGGGTGGGGCTTTGGAAGCCTTAGAATTAGATCTTCTACTTTCAGGTGGGAAATTTGCTTTTTGGTTTACTTGCTCTGGCTGCAACCTGGAGAGGTTGGGAATTAAACAGCAGAGAGCAGTGTGGGATGGGAAGCAGATGAGGAACACCTCAAATTCACCTTTATGAGCTGGCTACTGCTGCAGTACTACAGCACTTCCTACACACCCGTCAGCCCAACGGCAAAGGCAAACAGCAATCATTACATGTTTCTAGCTAGACATTTTTCACAAGTTGAGAGCATCACCCTGAGTTGGGCAGCTAAACTAATAGCCATTTGGCTGTGTCGCTGGAGGACATAAAGAACTTGTTTGAAAGAGAAGAGACAAAAAGTATCCCCACAAGAGCCGAATGCCTGTGTATCAGGCCTAAAAGAGACACACTCTGTCAGTCTTGCCTGAACTGCTTTTCAGCAAAGATGCGGTGCTCCTACTGAATCTACAGCACCATGGCAAAGGAAATTATAATTTTAAGTTGAGAGTTTGCAGTGTGAATCGAATGTGACTGTAGAGACAGACATATATTTCTACTGTTGATATCACATAACCAGTATAGTTTGAGAGTTTAACTGAACTTAGGACTGGTGGTGGCGTTTAAGATATTGTTGGTCATAGGTGGTACTACTACTACTACTATTATCTGCTGGGTTCATGAATATTAATCACGTTGTCAGCGTTCGCTCAAACTGATTTGCTGAAATCAAAACGGGGACAGTAATAGATGAGCACCAGCCAACGAGAGCTGTTCGCGCATTAGCTCCGCCCACTGCCGAGAAACCGGCATATCTTCTGCTTCTTAAAAGCTGAATAATTCTAAATGAACTCTGTTATTTTGACAGAAAAATACAACAAAGAATATGGTTTACATGTAGCGCGTCGATTCAGCATGGTATGCAAGACTCTCGCTCTCTCTCTTTGCATGTGTGAGAAACACAGTGCTATCAGTAAAGCGACGGCGAGTCGTGCGCCTTCACACTAGTTTACGGTACGTCAAATACAGGTGAGCTGCGTGCTACATACTGTGCATCCATTGAGTACATGACATGATCCATTGAGCGCATCCAAGTAGTACAGATCGCTTGACGGAGAGCGAAACTGTCAAGCGCTCAGCCAACGTGTTTATCGAGTGAAAATCTGTGTTGAACGCCTCTCACACACACACTGGCATGTAAAATCTAAGAATTTATTAGCCAATGGCTAATGTTAGATATTATTTAGTCGCCCAGAGTAAGATTTAGTCGCATATACGAGTGATTTACTCACAATGTAGAGGGTTGTATTAGTTATGCCTTGAGATCATGAGTTATCAGACTAACGTTTCAATAGTTTTGGGTCAGTACATTTTATCTTATTTTATTTTTGAAAGAAATTAATACTTAAATAAAACAAGGACATATTAAATCTATCAAAAGTGGCAATATTTATAATGTAATGAAGATTTCCAGATCAATTCAATGCTGTTTTTGAACTTTCTATTCATCAAAGAATCCTGGAAAAACTATATAAAACTATACCCCCCCAATTTTTTTTATTATATATATATATATATATATACACACACACACACACATATATATATACAT